ATTTTTCCCACTCTCTTGTTCTTTATATCCATATATATCCGAACCGTGTTGCGTATTATTGATAACAACGAGCGACGACGTGTATATAATTTATTCATATTTTTCTTTTCTTCTTTTTTTTCATTTATCCAGAGAGGAAACTATTTTACGAAACGACAGCGTGATGACAGCTCATCGAGCGACTTTTGCAAATACGCAATATGGACTCGGGTATATACGTACAGGGTCGGCCTATCTCGCTTTCATCCACCTTTTTATCCTTCTATACGCGCCCTACGAACGAGTTCCGATAAGAATCTCTGTTTGACCGCGACGCGGTCGGAATGGGAATTAGGCTGTTACACGAATCCGCCACGCTTCCTCCCTTTCTTTTCCTCCCCTCGAAACAGCGGCGATATCGCGCGCGATATCGTTCCTTCCGACCGATACGAATCGCTACATTCAACATCCCCTTTCGAATGTCCGAAATACGTGACACACCTCCTCCCCTTATCTCATCTCGAAACACGTCCTTCTTTTTAATCCATTTTGAGTGCGTTTCGTTCTGCGCTGGGTTGAAACTGGGGGCTCAAACGAGGGGAATAAATAATTAGCGAAACTTTTTTAATCTTGAACGCGATTCGAAAATATATATTTAATTTTGATGAAGAGATTTTCGAGAAGATTCGAGAAGGAAAATTCGTCGATGATTCGTAAATGATTGGTTAATTTTTTTTGTTCGATTATTTCAATCGTGCGTCTCGAAAGAAATCGGGATATGGGAGGAGTGGTACATTTATTAAAAATCTGATTCGACTGTTTTTAATCCCCTGATGAGATATTTACTCACTTGATATATATAACGACGCGTTATGCAAAATACGTTGAATTACGGAGAAAAGTCATACAGTTTTTCAACTTTTCATCAAGTAGAGAGGCAAATCTTCTTATAAAACCGATACAGTTTTTCCGAGCGTTAAAGGCGTGACTTGCGTGACGAGCAATAGACCTACTTCATTACCCGGGCGAATATTTTTTCCAACCGCTTGTACGACCTCCGTGCGCCGAGCGAGGGGAAGAAAGGTCGTTTATAAAAAGCTTCTAACGTGTGTAAGTAATTACGTACACGTTTCATGGTTAACGGCAACGATTCGTGCGCGTACGATCTTACGTCTCCAACTGGACCCTGTTTACCCCGGTCATCGAGATCTTGGCCTCCAGCTACGTACGTGGACGAGGATCGTAAGCCAGCCTTTTTCTCCCATATTTCTCCCCAACCTAAAATAATCCATCGAACGAAATTTCACGAGTATAAACTCGGTGAAAATTCGAATTATATAAATATTCCTTGGTTGAACGATTTTCTGAGTCTAAAAAATCTTGAAAAGAAAAAGAAATTAAAAATTAAAAAGAATTAATTCCAAATATCGTAAAAAAGTTATTTTCTAATTTGAAGGAAAAAGGGGGAGGTATTTTCAATACTTAAGATGGAATCAGGGCCAAATCGATAAACGCGATATCACGTTTGGCAATACATTGTGTAATTAATTAAATTTAACCGCATTGCGACACGCGCAAGCACAAAATTCCTCCATACATAACAGATATGGAAAAGAAATTTTTTAATATATATACATACGATTCTTTCTTCTCCCAAAACCTCTAACGATTTCCACGAGCCATTTAACCGAGCCGCGGCGCAAGCCGCAGTGGTGATAGACCGCACGAGTCCGAACGTGGCGTTTCGGTTTACCCAGCGCCACGGTTCGACTACTACTTTCACCGCCAATCGTTCCGCCAACAATCCATCATTATCAATTTGCCAGCCCAAATTATGTTTCCGTTAGTGGAAATTAGGAATTAGATAATCTCTGGCCTCTGATATATTTTTATTCCCGTGTTCCTCCTCGGCGCCATGTCGTTCAACGGAATCGGCAACGGTGGAAAAAGAAAAAAAAAAAAAAAAAAAAGAAAAAACGTCGACCCGTCACCGAATTCAATAAGCGGATTATCAATCTCTCGAAGGTGTCCTCCCCGCGATTACAGTTTTTGCCTGTACAACTTTCCCACCGGATAATGCCCCAAAGGGCATTTGCATCGATTTTCCAAGGATCGATAAAATCGTCCCTTTCCCTCCTTCGAGAGCGCCGCTTTATCGCCAGAAGAATTTCCAAGTTTCCAAACCCCCGTTCGCGATAAAATTCCGTTCGAAAGTTCCTCGCCTCGTTTCGAAAAAGGTTTCGCTATCGCGAAATAAACGCGAGTCCATCCGCCAAGGATATGGAAGTGGAACGGTGATAATCCGTCCTTGATTCTTAGAAAATTGTGCAACCAAAATCGTTATTTCGCGGGAAAGATTAAAACTGAGCGAAAGGAGAGTTGAAGCGATCACCAGTGCGACACGAGGGATATGATTTAGGTAAAAGGAACAAAGGATAGGCAAGGATATTCGAAAGTATTCTGATTAAACGGAAGATTGAAAGAGGAGAAGGTTAAAATTTGGCGGATCAAAGTTGGATTGGAGGAGAAAAAAAAAGAAAAGAAAAGAAAAGGTCATGATTTATGGGATCAGGTGGCGTCGATGAAAGTGATAGGGAAGGAATCCCGGATGGAACGGATTTCTTCCACGCGGTGATAATAGATCGAGACGAAACGATTTATCGGGAGCCTCGTATTTCGTTCCTCGCACGCGCGAGAAAATCGAGCCGAGCTTCTCGAGTTTGACCCCCGGCTCGATTTATGGGGGCGAGCTCGACGAAGGAAGAAACGCACAGGGGGATACAGGGGGATAGATACTCGAGGACACTGGAAAACGGGTAATTCTGGAGAGATCGTTAATGGAATCGAATAATTTTTCTATGGATATGGTTATCGCCATATGGTTGGGGAAATAATAAATTTTTTTCGATGTAAAAATATGCGATGGAAATGGTGGTTGAAAGAAAGGGGTGCGAAAGTAAGCGTGAAAAATGTTGAACGGAAATTTTCAATACGAATCTTCTTGACGATCCCCGAAAATAACGTGGCAAAAATTGCGACGACTCTCGATAAAAACGATTAAATATAAAATTCTAAGTATAAAATAGTTCAATTTCTCTCTATCGAAAATTATCATCCTACATTTTTACTCGACTTTTTCATCTTTATTATAATATATTCCCGAAAAATAACTTTTCAATATTTCGAGACGGTATATAAAAATTCCTCGAAATAAAAATGTCCAAAAATTATACGTGTGTATATAATTTGGCCACCAAGATGCCAAATTATAGAGGAGAAAAGGAAAAGAACGCGAGAATGATCGCGATACCGGACGTGGTTACAAGACTCTAACGACTCTTATCCGGAAGATTATCCGGTCTGAGAGGAAATCGTATTTGTAACCCATCGTATTTGTTAAGAAACATACTTGGACGCGTTGTGTGAACGAAGGAGAGGAGGGAGGATCTTTCGGAAAAATGGCAAGATGGAGGGGGGTGGTATCGAGTTTTCTGGCCATTTGCCGGCGTATCGACCATCGCTGGACTCTCCTCCGTTGATCCGTGAGGATCAAGTTCAACGATGGCCTTCTTCGACTACTTGCGGCAAAACTGTATCGAGCGTCTGACGCCGGATGTTGAAGGGGGAGGGTGGGAGTGCGGACAGGGTGGATAGATGCCAACGATAATAACTGCTAAACGATGAACGCCTGTAAATAGCCGACACGGTAAAGCGCGGTAAAGAACGGGACATAAATAAAACGTGCAAGTTGCGCGCACATACCGGCGGGAGAAAAAGCAATTTCGACGTCGTGCGCGTCTGGTTGTTAACCCGATTCCTTTCGAATCCCTCCACCGAGAGATTTCGTTCGCCAGCGGCGGGGGACGA